AAAAAAAAAAAAAAAAAAAGCAAGTGAAGAGCTGGATGCTCCTCAGGCCTCCACCCTGTTTTCTTTCTATGTTCCCCACCTTGGGAGGTGTCCCCCCTTCACTGCCTCAGGGCCTCTGTATGGTGGTGTCCTCCACTGTGACTCCACCCTGCTTCCTCCCCCAAATTCTGGCCCTTCCTACAAGTTTTCCGACTGTCCTGTCCAGTATAATATCTTCACACACCCTCCCAACTTCCCCACCGCCACCATTCCTCTAGTTACCTGGCCTTAATTGAAACCCTTGGAAAAACAAATTTGTTCCTCATTTGTCTCCTTTAAATCCTGGTCAGCCATCAGATTATGGTGATTTCTTCCCTTAAAAAGCCCTGTGTGAAACATGAAGAAGTCTTGGATTTGTTTTAAAACACGGAAGAAGAGGGTGGCGCCTATGGCTCAATGGGTAGGTCGCCAGCCTCATATACCGAGGGTGGAGGGTTCAAACCAGGCCCCGGCCAAATTGCAACAAAAAAAATAGCCAGGCGACGTGGTAGGTGCCTGTAGTCCTAGCTACTTGGGAGGCTGAGGTAAGAGAATTGCCTAAACTCAGGAGTTGGAGGTTGCTGTGAGCTGTGACGCCACAGCACTCTACCAAGGGCGATAAAGTGAGATTCTGTCTCTAAAAAAAAAAAAAACCACAGAAGAAGAGACAGGGAGAGGGGGCATAAAGTAAACATGATAAATCTTGATAAAAATCTTTGAATCTTGGTGAGGAGATATGAGAATTCATTCTACTATTCTCTGCTTTTGAGAATGTTTGAAATTTTCATCATGAAACAAATTTCTTTCCTTTTTTTTTTGAGACAGAGCCTTGCTCTGTCACCCAGGCTGGAATGTAGTGGTCTGACCATAGCTCACTGCAGCCTCAAACTGCTGGGCTCAAGTAATCCGGCCTCTCAAGTCACTGGAATTATAGGAACCCACCACTGTGACTAGCTGATATTTTTTATTTTTGTAAAGATGTGGTCTCACTATATTGTCCAGGCTGGTCTTAAACTCCTGGTCTTAAGTGATCTCCTGGCCTTGGCCACCAAAAATGTTGAGATTATAAGTGTGAGCCACAATGTTCAGCCTGGTTTAAAAAAAAAAAATTGTTTTTTGAAACAGTCTCACTCTACTGCCCTGAGTAGAGTGCTGTGGTGTCATAGCTCACAGCAATCTCAAACTATAGAGTTCAACCAATCCTCTTGCTTCAGCCTCCAGAGTAGCCAGGACTACAGGTGCCCACCACAACATCCAGCTAGGTTTTCTATTTTTAGTAGAGATGGGGTCTTGCTCTTGCTTAGGCTAGTCTCAAACTCCTGAGTTTAGGAAATCCACCTGCCTTGGCCTCTCAGAGTGCTAGGATTACAGGCGTGAGCCACTGCACCTGGCCTAAAAAAAATTTAATGAACCCAGAGGCATCATTAACTCCCTAATTCCCCCATACCACCTTAGTCTGGGTCCTTCAGGCTGACCTGCCTGACCTACTCTTTCTAACCTTTTCTAGTCCTCCACAAATGCTAGTTTTATCATGTTGCTTTCTTGCTCAGAAACCACTAATAGTCCCGGTTGGTGTCTCACAATAGACCCAGACTGCACTGCCTGATTTTCAAATGTATCCACCATGATTTGGATCTAGCCTTCTCAGACAATCTGGCTTCACACTAATACCCAGTCTAAACCCTCCAGGATTCAGGCCAGACTCATTTAGGATCTACAAATTTTCTGCATTTAGAAATCCCTTTTTTTTTGGCTCGGTGCCTGTAGCTCAAGTGGCTAAAGTGCCAGTCACATACACCTGAGCTGGAGGGTTCGAATCCAGCCTGGGCCCGCCAAACAACAATGACGGCTGCAACCAAAAAATA